CAAAATTATTTTGCACTAAAAAAAATCTCTTAAATGATTTTTTTTTTTAACAAGAAACTTCCAGAGCTCTAGTGTTTAATCTAGCCCAGCTTGTATGCAGCTGCAATACATTTAGCCTTTAACATTAGCTCTAGCCATTGTCCTAAGACATGTCTACACCCCATGACACTTTATGGTATTAAAAGAATTGCTGTGTGGCTACAGCAACTTGTCACTAAGATATATCACTCAATGGAGAGCAAGACAAAACAAAACCACTGAACAACATGGCTTTTTTTTTTTTTTCCCCATGGCAGCTTATGCTATGGGTATAGTTTGCTTGGCTCAGTTGGGTTTATGTGGTGTTTCATACAAAATGTCCTGCCTGCCTGAGAACTATGGAGTAAAACTTGTGGAGGTGAGTGAAAGAGCAGGCTGTGCACTGGATAATCTGGTGTAATCGTTCCACATAGCCATTGGAGGAATACCAACCCGCTACATGGACAATCTAATTGCAGCCAGGGCTGATGAAACAGCTCTTGCACCAGCCTCCTCCCTCTGGCAAAGGGAAACGAGGGCGGGGTTGGAGGTTATGGCTGACGAGCACCCACGTTACAGCTGTCCGTGGATTTTCACCTTGGTGTCCATTCCAGCAGCTGCAGGCACCACCACACCAGGTTCAGCTCATGGGGACAAACTGATCAGACAGAGGTTCAGATCGTCATCTTCACACCCAGGAACACAAACACTTGGACCCTGGACAAACAAACTTTTTATTCTCCAAAGCGTGGTATTCCTATACTGCTACAATGGCAGTTTTCCAAATTCATCTGGGAACTTTGTCCAAAACAAGCCTGAGGCCATGCTTGCAAGTGCCGTGCAAGAAGGACGAAGAGATGCTCCAGCCTCCTACGGGAGTCAGAGCCCCCCGCACACCGGGGCAGATCCCAGCTCTCCCCAGGACAGCCCTGGGAGAGGCACAGAGTTATTAGCAGCCGGCAGCCTGTTTGCACCGCGCAAGGGTAAGCCCGCGATTGCGAAGCCCCGGTGCGCTTGCGAGTGAAATCAGCCTTGAGCTGATGAGCTGCTCCCTCCGGAGCGGGAGTGCAGCCCTCCGACTGCACCGGCTGAGGAGCCTGCCAGAGAGAAGCGATAAAGCAAAAAGGCTAAAGCTTGGCTTTCTTTTCCTAAGACTTTGGCGCCCCTGTGTGTCTTCTTTTCGGGAAATTCAGCTGAAGAACAACCCCAAGGTTTTCTCCCTTTAACCCAGCACCAGAAACACTGCACTCGAAACTAGGAGAGCTCTGCCAGTGCTAGCCGGTGGTCTGAGTCTAATTTGAGCTCTGCCATTTCCACTCCTTACCTCTCCTCCTTTAGATGCTGGAGGATTGCTGGAATTGCCTTCTTTGGCAACTTTATCTAAAGTGACTAACGTCCTTAGAACACCACTTCCTGGAGTCAGGACATTTATAATTTGCTTTTCTACATCCCTTTATCTCCCAGTATGTCTGAGGTCCAGACTGGAAAGAGCCTTAAAGAAAACAGGATAAAAAAACCAAACCAAAACAGAAAAAGTATATGCTGTATCTTAAGCTATCAAAGTGTCACATTTACAAAGTAGATGGGCAACACATGCAAAATACTTGTCTATATCTCTGCATCAGGGTTGCACTACAACTAATTTTTGTTCAAAGATGAAGGCAGAGGTAGAGGAAATTTGACACAAAAATTTAGGAAAATCCTAAGATGAACTGTAAATATTGTAAATATTTTTTTTTTTCTGTGAGGTAGTTACCATTATTTACTCATTCCATATCTTCAAAATAACTGTGACACAGAGGAATGAAGTGAGTGGCCTAAGGGTACAGGGATGTGGCAGGCAGCTGGACATAGAGGAAGGAAATCCAGCCAGCCTGAGTTCTGGCAAGATTTACTCTGTTGGAGGTCCTGGTACAAACGGGCTCTGCAGAAATGAGTCTCATAAGTCTTTGTCCCCTTTCCTGCCTTCCAGCTGTCAGTCCTTATTTCAAAACAAGTAAGAGATGGGAATGTCTGAGGGGTGTGGTGTTTATTTGGGGCTATTTAGAAAACATAAAAACACACACTCTGCAAAGTGTCACTGGAAAAAATATGGCATGCAAACACAGACAGGCTATCACTTGCCCCAGAGTCAGCATCACCTGCTTCACACTCAACCTGGCTAACCTGGAAAAGGCCCTCCTTTCCTGACACCATGCCTGCCTTCAGACAGATGGCCCCAGCTGTAGGCAATGTAGATGTAGGCCTACCCTGGCTATATTTATGGGTGGGTGGTTACCCTGCCTTCATTTCCCACCTGGAGAGCTTATTACTCCTTTCACCAGCTCTTCCACTGTAGCCTTCCTTGTCAGAGGTAAATCGGCTCCCTAAGGCAACCACACCAGGGGGAATTATCCCAAGAGATTTCTCCCACCTTCTTCCCCCCCCCTCATTTATTTTTTTGTTTCTACCCTTCCCTCATGCAGTATCAAGTTGCCCCACCAAAGTTTTTGGTAAGGCACAGTGCTGAATTCAGGTAGCCAGCCTAAAAATAACCCTGAAGAAAAAATTAAGGCATTGCTTAATTCAGGGGACTTGTCCTGTGTTAGGACTTAGGTCATCTGCCTTGCTGCCTGTTCCCCTGCTGGATATTGGTATGCCTTAGCTGGTCTTGCATGCTGTGGGCTGCATTTCAAAACCTGAGAACAAGCTGCTATTTAATCTTCTTTCAGACTCACTAAGGAACCTGAGCTTTGCTAAGAGTCTAGAGCTTATGTGGAACCTTCCCAAGAGTAAAAGCCTTTCCCCGTGTTCCTGGGAATCTTGCTCCTGGCAGCACAACCAGCAGGGTGATATCCCTTTGCTTACCTCAATTTTCTGCTCTCTCTTCACAGAGAAGAAGTGGTGCTCCTTTATTTTGCAAGGCTGGCAGCAGTGGTCACAAAAGCTGCTGGATGAGTGTGAGGTCAAACTCATCCTGGGATCATAGGAAATTGATTTGCAGTGCAGGAAAAGAGTTTCTGTGCTTTTCCCCTATGACAGGGCCCATTGACTAAATAGGGGGTACATCCTACTTGCGAGGGAGCACAGCACAAACTCTGCTCCTAAGAGCTGTAAGCCCCAAATGCCTGCACTAATGGGCAGCACCTAATGTGTTCGTTTGACCAGGTTTACAGGCTGTTGATTGTGCATAAGAATTTAGAGCGCGAGCAAAAAATTGTCCCATAAATGGGCTGGCTGCATTTTAAACTAAATTAGCCCCACAGTGAATGGCCTCCTCCACTGTATTACAGCATGACTGAGCCTGCACTGGGGACTGAAAGGGATTCATGTGGCTGGTTAAGAGTAACATTATCAAGATTATTATTGGGGGCTGGGCCAACCCCAATAGGAATGCAATTATTCAGGACCTTTGAGCTACAATTATGTGTGACAGAAGAAACCTAAGTATGATGGCAGAGAGTATTTGGGCCCTTATGGCTAAGTAACTCACAACCAGACAGGGCTTAGGGCTCTGACAGACGGGTTGTGGTGAAGCTTGCTGTACTGGTTGAAGATGTTTCCATCTCCAGCTGCTCACTCCAATAAAAAAGCTGGCACAAGGGAATTGGTTCCTCAGCCTCAGTTGCTCTTGGTAGAATCTCAGCACCTCGGGCTGTGGTTTCACACCACGGAGAGTTCAATGACAATAGCAGCCTTAAGGGATTCACACCCTCTTCCTCAGACTCTTGACAACTTTTTGCCGACCTGCTGGACTGATTCAGTTCGTTACAGAAAAAGAAAAAGAGGGAAGGATTACTGTTCCCTTTTTTTTTTTACGCAGACCCAGGCCTGAAACCGCTTACAGTCTGCTCCAATCTCTCCAGTCAGCTGAAGGCATAGGATGGGAACAGTCATCAAGTTGGAAAACAGAGCCTTACCTTAAGCTGCTGCTGAGGATGATTTTTTCCTGCCTCCTTTTCATTCCTGTGCCCGGAAAGAGGTTTGCTTGCAGCCTCTGGGAGGACGGGAGCACTAGCCCTGATAGGCAATGTCTCCTGGCTGGACTGTGCCCTGCAAGCAAGGAGACAGAAGGCATGGATGATATTGGAATGGGAGCAGCGTGGACAGCAGTGTTTGGAACAGCACGAAATTTTGCTGATGTTTTCATCTCCGACTTCGTCCCGGCCGGTTTCCACGCGGCAGGAAAAAACTACCCCTTTGTAATGGGTGACTACCTACAATTTATTGGAAAAGAGCTGTTGCTAAACACATGGAGTAGCGATGTATTAACACATTGTAAAAGGCTGTTTGATCACCATGGGATTCCAGATGAGCTAACAACAGAAAATAAGCCATGATTCACAAATGACTCATTTCAGCATTTCTCTTTGATACAGCAGTTCAAGCAAGCCCTGTCTATGCACATTCAAATGAGTTCACTGAATAGTCATTGAGCCCAGCCATGCCGCGCTTGCAAAGTCTTTTTTTTTTTTTTTTACAAAGTGTAAGTAGAGTTTTTAAGTATAAAAATTGGGCAATTTCTAGCAAGCCGCGCCAATGCATGACTCCAGTCACTCCTTCTGAAGCTTAAAAACTCGTCACCAAACATTAGTTTTCCGTGATCCGAGCCCGCCAGGTGCGGCGCGCCTCAGAAAAATCACGCCCCGTGGTTCGGGCACCTCTTTTCAGGTTGAAAATTACAGCCAAGGGTCTGAGGTCCCAGCGGGACCACGGGGCTCTTCACGACAGTGACTTGTCCATGCCCCGTCCATCTGCCGGCGCTGCGAGCCCTCCTCCTCCTCCTCTCCCCGCTGCGGGCTGCGATCCTTTATCCAGCATTGCCATCCAGTGGCACCGGCGACAAACGACAGCGCAGCTTGCGGATGGGAGCGGGGACCTTCTGCACTTTCACCGCGCTGTTGGGCGGGGATGAGGCTTGGCAGGCTAGCCCGCACTCGGGCAGCAACCTGATGGCTGGATGGAACAGGTCAGTCATTTATTGCCAGCCGGCTGTAACCGGGATGTCGCGGAAAAGGCGGCGAGCATTTAACGTAGGTACTGACTGAAAGCTGAAAGGTACCTGGCCCCTTTCTGAGAAAGCCTGCCAGTGGATCCTGCTTTTATTTGAAGTTTTCTGTGGTGTTTTTTTTGGGTTTTTTTTGTTTGGTTTGGTTTGGTTCCACCCCCCGCCCCGGTGTATATTCACAGTGGTTTAACAGTCAGAAGTCTGTTTTAGTACTCCCCTATGGATTGCAGAACGGAGTAGATTATAAATGGTCACTCTAATGCACTCATCTAGCCGTATTTCTTTTTCTTTTCTCTGAGATATTGCTAGCCAGGTTGCTCCCCAAAACCTCAAGCGTTACGTAACAGACGCGGAAGACTACTGGTAAAAATTGTCTGTGAAAACACGGGGTCATTCTTTTCACAAGAAGTCTTGCAGTAATTATATTGACCTAGTCTTTGGAACACATCTATCACCCACCCACTCCCCACTCTTCAGGGCACAGCCAGGTGCCATTTCTTGCTGCCCAGAGAGAAATCCTCTGAATCAAAAGGGTTGCAAAGGACCAAAGCCCAACCCAAAGAAGATATTGACAGCCATTTTTCACTACTATTTGAATGGCAGAAAACTGAAAACCAACTGCTTGTGTTTAAATTATAACATTTATCATCAGTCCTGGCACACTGGGGAGGTACAAGATGACTGGAGGTTAGTCAATAAAGAGCCCATCCCCAAGAAGGGTTGGAAGGAGGATCAGAGGAAATACAGGCCTGTCAGCCTGTCCTTGGTGCTGGAAAAGGTTATGGAAGAGATCATCTTGGGTGCAATCCCATGGCACACACAGGACAATCAGGGAGGGAATCAGGCCTAGCTAGCCTGGGTTTATGAAAGGCAGGTCCAGCTGGACCAGCCTGATCTCCTTTTATGACCAGGTGATCTGCCTGGTGGATGAGGGAAAGGTTGTGGATGTTATCTATCTGAACTTCTATGGCACAATTCTGGACAAGCTGGGAGCCCATGGCTTGCTTAGGGGAACTCTCTGCAGGGTTAAAATCTGTCTGAATGGTCACCCACTGTGCTGGTGGATGGTGCCACATCCCCTTGATGGCCTGTCACTAGCAGGGTTTCCCCCAGCTCAGTACTGGGGACAGTTCTGTTTAACACCTTTATCCACAACCTGAATGAGGGGATTGAGTGTACCCTCAGTAAATTAATGGATGACACTTAGTTCAGCAGCAGTGTTGATCTGGAAAGGCAGGAAGGCTTTGCAGAAGATCTGGACAGGCTGGACTGAAGGGTCAAGGCCAATGAAATGAAGTTCAGCATGACCAGGTGCCAGGTCTTGCACTTTGGCCACAGCCCCTGCAGCTCTACAGGATGGGTAACAGAAGAGGCTGGAAAGCTGCGCACTGGAAAAGGACCTGGGGATGCAGATCAACAGTGCTTGAGCATGAGCCAGCGTGTGCCCAGGTGGGCAGGAAGGCCAGTGACATCCTGGCCTGTATCAGGGACAGTGTGGCCAGCAGGAGCAGGGCAGGGATTGTCCTGCAGGACTCAGCACTGGTGAAGCCACACCTCAAATCCTGCATTCAGTTGTGGGCCCTTCACCACAAGGAAGATACTGCCCAGACAAAGGCAGTGGAGATTAGAGAGTCGCATGAGGAGCAGCTGAGGGATCTGGGGAGGCTTAGCCTGGGGAAAAGGAGCACCTGGGGTGACCCTATCACTCTTTACAACTACCTGAAAGGAGGCTGCAGTCAGGTGGAGGTTGGCCTCTTCTCCCAGTTAACAAGCGACAGCTCAAGAGGAAATGACTTAACTTAGGTAGGATAGGTTCAGTCTGAACATCAGGAAGAATTTTTCCCCTGAAGAGGTGATAAAGCATTGGAATAGGCTGCCCAGGGAAGTGGTGGAGTCACCATCCCTAAAGTCTTCAAGAACTGACTGGATGTGGCACTTAGGGCTATGGTTTAGTTGGCGTGGTGGTGTTTGGTCAAAGGTTGGACTCAATGATTTTGGAGGTCTTTTCCAACATATACAATTCTATGGTAAGTATCTGCACAAGAGGAGGCAAAAGGACTGTTTACTTTTTGCAAAAGCTGGGTAAAAGGGACAGCACAGAGGTTACCCTGCAAGTCCCAATGCATCTGCTGACCCTGCACCATGAGGCAGGTTCTGCTGCCACAGCAGAGCTTATCACTGGAGATCAGAAGGTGCTGGTTGGTGAACACCAGGGGCAGACTGCTTGGGGACACCGTGGTGGCCTGCAACAGATAAGCCACAGAGAGCTGATAAAACCCCAGGTGTCTGTGCAACTGAAACCAGGGTGGGCTATGTGATACTCCAGACCAGGCAGCCAGCAGGAAGAGGAGCACACTCCTGGTGTTCCCATGAAAGCAGTCAGGTCCCAGAAGAAACTGAGAACAAGCAGAAGCTGGAGCTAGCTCCCCAGATGGCTGTGTAGTTATCCATGCTGGAGTGGCAGCAGTAGGACTGGCTGGAGTAAAAGAGAGTAAGAACTCACCTTTGCAAGAGAAAGGTAAGGCAGGGGGGCATCAACAGACATGATGTGCTTTAAGACTCAATCAAATAGGATGTAAAACACCAAAAATTTCATTCTGTACACACAGCAGCATCACCAGAGCTTAGTCCCTGAGCAGGTTGGATATTAAATTGATCAAACTGGTAATGAAAGTGGGAATTGTTCCATCTCAGCTGACACAAGGCAGGTGACCTTATTAAAAAATATGCCAGTGTATTTAATGGGGTAGGGCAGTTTCTTGGGGAATTCATGATTAATGTGGCTATAACTCTGGAGATCCCATAGCTAATGCCCCTGGAAAAAGTCTTACTTCTGCCATGAGATGGCCCAGCTGAAATTTTTAATATGGTACTGTATGAATACAGTCACATAAATGCACCACTGTTTTCTGTCAGAGACACCAAGTTACTCCAGAACTGCTGTACTGATTAGAGGACACGATGGCTCATGCTGGACACAGCAATCTGGGTGTGAAAGAAACCTCAGAGCCTGCTGAGGGGTGCAATGTCTCTCCAAGGTCAGTTCAGGCTGACCACCAGGAGCAACTCAGACTCCCACACTGTTTAGTCACAACAGAAGCCACCATCCAAGACACTGAGCTCATGTAATGTCCTGAACAAGACCTGACCTGGAGAAATCTCAGAAGCTACTGACAACCAATGCCTAGAGCAGGGCAGTGTTTGCAGCTGAGGAGGTCTGTGTGTGTGAAAAGGGTCTGAGAGTGAGAAAAGCAATCATCTGTGCATCCCTGAGATGGAGCAGGAACTCAGGAGAGTCATAACATCCCAGACTGGTACTGTGTCCCCGGCAGGTGCTGAGGTCTTTGGAAGAGCAAAGGAGATGTGCAAACAGATGTGGCACTTTTCATGACACCCTTCCCAGCCTACAACCATTTGTAGACCAGGATCTTCTGAGAAGGACATAACTGTGGTGTATCCAAAAATGGTTCTCTGCCATGAACTTGCCCAGATGTGTAACAGAGCCCACAGAGATGGAATAAGCAGGGGCTTAGGGATAAAGCTGCCTGTTTTCTTCTGATTGCTGTAGGTACAGGGAAAAGTGTACATTCTTTGCAAATAAAAAGTAGTATAGCAAAACCTAAACCTAAATAAAGGCTTGGGATTCAGGCCAAGGAACATTCTCAGTGTGAGTGACAGCCAAGAAGCTGTAAGTAGTTCCCAAACAGAAATTGAGCTGAACTGGAAGAGAAGAAACAAACACTTGCAGAATCTTGACTGCAGAGTACAATTGTAATTCAAAGCAGGATCCAGATGTGCTGCAAAAGAAAGGTTCCAGAAAGCACTGTGAAATAACCTGTCTCAGGACAGAAAACAGATGTTAGGAGACCAGCTGCCAGGTGAGTGTAGTAACTGGGCAATCCAGTAAGAAAACCTTGGCCTGGGAGAAGTTGTTTAAGCAGGAAAGGACCAGACAAGACATGGCTGCTGCAGGAGCTGAGGAATGCGATGTTGTGCAAGGCAGGAGATCTCCAGCAGTTTTCTGGCCTCTTTGCCCCTTTATAACTGTCTTGGCAACTTTCCAGTGACCCAGTATGGGAAGACAAGGTTGTCCCAGCCTCACTAATGCTATCAGGGTCTGTCTTCAGCCCCATGGGGAATGGTGATTGCAGCCACTCCCCTTCCCGTAAGACAGCCATAAAAGTTTTTTGTGTAAGCAGTTGAACAAGGGACCAAAACATAAACATGAGCCTCCACCCTAAGCAAAAGCAAACAGGAAGGTGCTTGGCAATTTGAAACACTCAGGAGTGAAGTTCGAGGCTTTTGCTGAGCAGTTTTGGGTGTGCATTCATCGACAGCTCCAGAAGATAACCAGGAAAAAGATGTGGAGATGATGTGAAAATTTGATAGAGCCTAAAGCAGGGCTCCTTCTAAAAAGGGTGATACAGGCTTCCATATGTCTGTGGACAGCAAAGACAGGGAGAAAAGGATCCCCTGTGCTCACATTAGAGCTGTGGTAACTTTTGGGGCTCAGGCAGTGTGAGGTGGAGGGCTCAGCAGCACAGGCTGCTTTGCCCAGACTCCTGGTTATTAGTGAGGAGACCCTGGCACACAGTAAAGTCTCCAAAGGGAAAAAAAGACAACAGAAGTTGAAAATCTTAGGCTAAATCTTAAGAAAAGACTTTGGGCTACAAATGATGACTTTTCCACTGGTGGGAAGAAAACTGCAGCCCTGCAGCACTGGTCAGCTTCCTTCCCCAACAGCCAGGGTTTGTACTTCTGCCAGTGGGTTCTCATTAGCCACAAAGAACCTGGCAGGCTCCAACAGTCAAGGATGTCTAACATCATCTCCTCAGCAGACTTGCAGTGCAGTGTGATGGGGTTGCTTTCAATCCTAAAGCCCTTTGGGAGGTTCTAGAGACCAAAAGCCAGGTGGCACCCCACAGATGCTGATGGTGAGGAGAAAAATGTTTTTCCAAGGCAAGTCTTGGCTTGGTTCTGCCTAAACCTACTGAAAAATCTCTCCTAGGTAGGAAGGCATTAAGGACAGCAGACACCTACTACAGCCCTCTGAAAAAGAATCCTGATAATTCAGTGAGGGGAAAGATAAATGGAACAGTGATCAAGCTAATTTGTGTTGAGATGAGAAAAGATAAGAGATGTGAAATACCTGTCAATAGGTAAACTGTTAGACTTAGCATTTATTAAATGATTTTTCTTTATCCTTAGGATGAATCACAAATATCAGAAATGTTTTTTCTTTATGAATGGTCCAGGAGTGTCCCGATTTTAACCAAACTGCAGTGTTAAAAGCAATTAGCAGAGATCATGAGCGTATTTCTAAATGATGATAAACTTCTCTTGTTACCTTTGCCGAGTATAACAGGATCCCCAGCCCAGCTACAGCTAAGTTACAGTACTGTAATACAGACCATCAGAGGAAAGAAAGCTGGAAAAGACCTAGAAAATTACCAGGTCTGAACCAGTATGACCTGCAAAACTGCTGAAAAAGCTTCGCCTAACCTGCCAATGAAAACCATCATCAGGAAAATTCCAGCCTCTCCAGACAATCTAATCCACATTTAACTGTTTATCACTACAAAGCTTCCATTATGTCTGATCTTCACTTCTTCTGATGCTATCTAAGATGATGAGTTCTTGTCCTATGCACAGAGAACAGAGAGAATCAGCTACTCCCTTCCTGTTTGAACCAGAATTTGCTTCTGGTTTACCTTTTTTACATATTTGAAGACTTCCTGCCCCCCCTTTTTTTTTTCTAATGCCATAATAAACATCTATATATTTTCAGTCATTCTTGACAGTAGGCATTTTCTAGATCCCTATGAGTTCTCTGCTCATGTTGTACCTGGCAACAAGTTATATTGTCAGAATAAAGAGCATGATAATGCTACATGTTTAGTGGAGGCATTAAAAATAATAGCAGTGATCTGATCCATGTATCTGTTCTCTCTGACACAGCCAGTTACCTGTACCAGCAACCAGGGCTGTGGAACAGGGTGTCAGACTGGCTTGGCAGAGCAGGTGACTCCCAGCCTGCAAATGGTTGCTCCTCTGGCTGCTAACACACCTGCAGCTGGGAGCAGCCCCCTGGCCATGCAGACACCAGGCTGCAGGGACAGTGCCCTGCCCTGACACGTCTCTGAGGGTCTAACACCATCGAGGGGAGCACCTCGGGTTCACACTCATAAACTTAGCAAGTGCCCAAATGTTTGCAAAACCCATTGTAAGCTGCCTTTGGACACTCCTCCAGGGCAAATGGTAGCTGCACATGTACATTTGTACTTTACTGTACAATAATGTGGATTTTAATCTGCAGGGAGAAAAGAGATCCCTATCCGTGCCTTGACTACACCAGTGTCAGCTATAAAATCTAGTCATATTTACAGAAGAAAACCAGCTAAAACCAGCTTCACCACCACAGCCTGCCTGTCCTCTATTAGGAGGTGTTTAATTATGTCTTGCTTTCCCTGTGCAGGAGGATAAATGAGCAGGGAAGAGGATGCCGTGCTGTTGTTCCTGAGCAGGTGATGAGGAGTAGTTTGCACGGAGGTGAGTACATATCCCTGTTGGAAATTAATTGGAGGAGGGAGCTGTCGAGTGCTCTGCTTTGGAGCACAAGTAATTCTGATTTGCAAAATGTGCTCTGCTAAGAGGCTAGGAGCTTACCTATCCCCAAAACCTTTGTACTGAAAGTCTGCTGCAAATGCAGACAAGCAGCAAAGCTCCTGCAGGGTGGGAGGCTCTGTGTCTGGAGCTGGAGACGGCAGCAAGACAAAGGCAGATGAGATGGATGCATTGTCTGGCCCCTGCTGTTTGTGCAGACAGATGTGCTCACTGACTGTGTGCAATTAGATTACTCAATGGCTTTGCTGGACCATGTGAGCTGAGCTAGCACTTGCCTCAATGTGTCGTTCCATCTCTCCTCCCGTTCGCTGCCTGTGCTGCTGCGTTGTGACTGTCCGGTGTCAGTGCACCCGCCTGGGAACTCCTGCTTCAGGTAGGTTTGAGTTTTCTTCTCTTTCAACAGTCAGATTATGGCTGCCTGGGAAGTGCAGGAAGGGCAGGGACTGCTACGAGCAAGGAAAAATTGAAGGCAGAGGAGTGATAGGAATAAATTTTGACTGCTTTTGTGCTCAGAGTCTGCTTTCACTTCCCCTGTGCTGACAGCTTCCAGCCTTCCAGCTCAGACAGGGCATGTGAGTAAGGCTCGTGTTAGAGGAGACCCCTGCCAGGCAGGGCTGCTCCAAGGCAAGAGTTTTAGAGAGACCATGCACACTGTAGGACATCCCAAACCAACACAAGACCAAAGTAGTTTAATCTCATTCAGTTCAGAAGGTGTGAGGGATGAAGAGATCCTTTACTTGGGCACAAAACAGCAATCTGTGGCTACGTGCACTTCCCAGAAAAACCACACTGAGGAAAAATTGTTTGCTCCCTACAGGCTCACTGTGAATTTAACAGTGGTGCCAGTTCAAACCGACAGCTTTGCATGAGAGAGCCAGGAAAAGGAACATCATCCTACAGATGGTTTTGTCTTCACAACAGAATAAAAAATGCCAAGTGACTCCAAATAAACATGGAATGCATCACATTTGTTGCTACTGACTGAGGCCAAACAGGAACTCAAAACCAATGTGCAAAACCTGTGCATCTTGCTTTTTAATTAGCTAACAAATTAGCTGAAACCAATTACCTATATTCGTTAAGGCCAGGAGCAGTTTACTGAGTACTAACTCTATTCCTAAGATAATATCCTCATTGTCTGGAAAGGTCTATTCCCATTCATCCCCATGGAAGACATTTCAATCCCCAATCCTACAGGGGAGTATTTTTCCACTACAGGAGCCACACCAAAAACTCCTCTCATGCTAAAAGAAAATTGCTTCAATGCAGGTCCAGGGAACAATAGAAAGGAGTGGCAGTGCAAATCTCAGTCAGCAGCAGTTTGAGTTCTGCCAGCACAGAACCCTTTTACACAACCCTTTTACAATTTGTTTAATTGCATGGTAAATTCGATAATCTATTATTTTTTTGTCCCATAACTCTGTTCTTGTACCCAAGATATGCAGAGGTCCAATAAAATGTACAACAGAAGAAGCCAGGACCCCATGATGTTTCCTCATACCTTGGTGGTAATTGGTGCCATAATACGGTTCAGATGTACATCTAGATTTGGCTGCTCCTTGCATCTGAACTTTGGATGAGTCTGTAAATCAATAACACCAATACCTGAAAACTACTTTTTCCATTGAGGTGGCTCATGTGACTTATACATTTTTTTGTTTGTTTGACAGGGTCTGGTTTGGATTTTTTTTTGTTTGGTTTTTTGGTTTGTGTGTTGGCTTTTTTTCCCTGAGGTGGGGAGTGTTAGTTTGGTTTGGTGATTTTTTGCCTATAATTCAAGCATAGGTCTATTTCACACAGAGCAGCACAAGGCAGAACTAAAAAAGAAACCCAAAAGTCCCTCAAAAGGTTTTGACAGCTTGATTTCCCACAGCTGTCATTTACATGTATGTTTTCAGGTATCTAAATATTAACTGTGCCAGAGAATCGAGGCACTGGGGTTAAGAAGTACCACCAAGCATGCGGCCTTCTTTCCCCCAAGGCTATTGGTACCAAAGGATCACAGTGATTCTGGATTACTGCAAAGGTGTTGCAGTAATGTCTGTGCAAGAAAAAAAAAAAAAAAAAACAACAAACCAACAACAAAACACACCAAGGAAAAATTAAATCTTACATTGTACTCCTGCGAAGAGCAGACTCATTTTCTGCATGTAGCTTTACTTGTTTCATATGGACCATGCTAGTAATGCAGGCTTCGACAACTAAGAATCTCCTTTCATATATATAAAGCTTTCCTACCTGTGTAGCAGAATACACTGTTTTAAAAGATTACTGCAGTTTTAAAAGATCTGACAGTTTCCAAGACATCCAAATGTCTTGAAAAATCTCAGCCTTTGTATTTCAGGAAAGCTACCTGCGCTCTCTGCCCCCAGCTGAGACCCCTCTTAGAGAAACCCTGACTCCTGCAGGAATACTGGAATCTTTCCCCCTGCTTTTCTCCTTCCACACCCTCCTAACTCCAGCTGGAAGGAGATCTTGTGTTAAGACTGTGGCAGAAGGGGGGAATTGGTGTTGCAGGCTGCTGACCCAGTGAGGAGGTGGGAAGGCTATGAACTCCACAGCCTGTGGAATGCACAGAGGACAGCAGGAGGCTGCTGGTCTCATAGTCACCAGCTGTCATGGCAATTTGCCTTTCTGAGGTGTCAGATGGGGAAGTGGTCTTTGTTCCTGGATATAATTCAGTGTAACAATCAAATTAGGAAGGAGTTGAAAGCGCTCTGGGCAGGTCTGTGCTCCCTAGGACAGCATTCACCAGTGGCTGAGCTGGGACACGTTTTCCCCTCACGCTGGTGTTTGCTGTGCATTTCATTGCTACACTTGGGTAGTGGTCTCAGGTCAGGATCTGTGCACCTTTAACAAGCTGTACTGTTGGCCTGCAGCAGCATTTCTCCCTCTGTAGCAAAATGCACTGCCCCCTCAGAACATTCACTGGCAAAATCTCAGATCAACTGGTTTTGCCTCAGCATTGCTTCACATTGGAGCAAAAGAATGTGATGTTGAGAAAAGTTTGCGTGCCCCAAACATGCTGTGTCATGGCAGGAGATTCACATGTACAGACTCACAGCTGGAACAAAGAGACTTACCAAGGATTTCACTTTAGTCAGAGCTATGTCAAGCCCTCATTGCATAAGCATGTTATACCAGATGCATACACAGTTCTTAGAAATAAAAATGTCTCATCAGAAAGCCTAGGGTTAATTCAAATTGTTTAAATAGCAGGTTGTGCTAACCCAGTTCCTTGTGATGGATGTATGTCACTGACATATTTTATGAAAATCCTTTTGCTAGGATTTTTCTCCTGAGAAGCTGAGAGGCCTCAGAAATGAAACATAAACAATAACTATCTGATGGCTGTGGAATGTGGTCTGGAGATGGTTTACCAACAGGTGCATCTTTGATTGGTTGCATGTGAATTGTTTTTAATTAATGGCCAATGACAGCCAGCTGTGTTGGACTCTCAGCGTTTGTCACGAGATTTTATTATTCATTCCTTTCTTTCATCAGCCTTCTGATGTCTCCTTTCTCTTTCTTTAGTATAGTTTTAGTATATAATTTTCTTTTAATATAATATATATCATAAAATAATAAATCGGCCTTCTGAAACATGGAGTCAAGATTCTCATCTCTTCCCTCATCCTGGGGACCCTCAAACACTCCCACAGATGTAAACCTGGAGCTCATCACAAGTCATCTGTGACTCTTAGTAGAAACTGTCTGTCAGATTTCAAATTTGCAAATGAAAATATTGCTGAAATAAGCTGTGACATAACTCTACACCAGGGCAAAAAAATTCTCTTGCTTCTTATATGTGAGTGTTGGTGGCCTTACATGAGCAATGAAGAATAGTGAAGAAAGAAATAAAGAGGTGGAAGATGGACGAGTGGTTCTTCTTCATCCTGTGTTCTTTGGCTGGAAAATGGTATGTATTGAACTGGGTTTCTGATTATTGCCTTCTAGAAATTGTATTTATGCAGAATATCAAAGAGCAGAAAGGCCACAATAGCTTACATATATGCTTGATCTAGTAGTGTAATTGTCATTGAGACACATTGAAGTAGTATTTATTTCATGTTACAAGTCTCACAATTCAGAAGCAGTGATGACTGACACATTGGGGTGGTTAAAAAAAATCCTACAAGTAAAAAAAAAGAATGTCATGAGAAAAAGATGAGGTTTTTCTGTCATAGGGTACATGCACAGAAATTTTAACAGCTATATGATACATGCAGGGAGAGTGGGGAGGAAGCAGCTGAGAACACACCCATACATTGAATTTGGGGACACTCTGAAATAAGTGCCAGCTGCTTATTTGCAAGACAGTAATTATGCAATAAGTCTGTTTAATCTTCAGGGTGATGTGGAGCAGCTTCCGTCTGCAAATTGTTCTTCACTTACACTGTTTCTACATCAGTGATGACTGTGCAACTATTAATATTGAAAGTAAGGGCAGCAGCTGCACACTCTGCATCAGATGGATACATGAGTCCTCCAGCAGGAAGTGAGCACAGCCATCAAAACAAGCTGTTGGTGGTGTCTGATGTTGTATTTCAAGAGAGGCTTCTTCTGAGGAGCAATGAATTGCTGCTCTGTGCAACACACAGATATTGCCTTTTTGCTGTTCTGAGTCACAGTGTTTCATTTCCATTTGTTTTCTACTGTTAATTTGCGAGCACAAAAACCTCTTTGGAGGCTGAACTTCTCAGCGAGCTTGATTTTAGCAGAAGCCTGTAAAGCATTTATTGACGACAAGGTGTCCTTCTGAAGGAAAATGCCACTCAGAGAACCCAACTGCACAGAGTATGTCACACAGAGCCACCACATCACCTGCGCCCTTGCAGCCGAAGAGGCCGCCTGCACCTTTCCTACCTCATGACATTGCAAAAAGAGTTTGAGACCTTCGAGCTTTTCTTCAGGGAGCTGTTCATGCTCCAGAATGACTACTGTGTTCATGTGGATGTCACTCAAGGAGCCATTTCCCTTCCAGCAGGCAGTGCTGATTTCTCGGCGCCTCCCTCATTTCCTGGGCAAAGAGGGTGGTCTAGGGCAGCACCTCCCACCCGTGGGCTGACCTCCACTGCATGAGAGACCTGCTTGCCCTTGGCCGTGCCCTGGTGCTACCTAATCAACACCTGTGGTCAGGACCTCTCCTTGAAGCACAACAGGGAGATCGTCCAGCTGCTGAAAGGCCCTGGGGGCAAGGACATCACACCCAGGGTGCTGCCACCTCCCCACGTCACCATCTGCACCAAATATGTGCACAGGGAGCAATTTTACTCTTCCTTTTCTTTCATGCTGTGGACATTTTTGTGCAGATGTCCATCTGACCACCTGTTTTGGCTCTGTGTCCATGGCCATCACCTGGCTTTTTGTGGGGTTCATGCTGCAGAACCAGCGTGTTCTCCATCTGCTGACATGGTCTGAGGACACCAACAGCCCTGAGGGGCACTTCTGGGTGATGCCCTGCAGGATCCCAGGTGAGCATGATTTCTTCACTTGTTTTTTCTGTAGATACACACATTTGTGCTTGTTTCACACATAGACAAAGCTGGAGCGGGACTTCTTACAAGAGTATGCAGTGATAGGATGTGGGGAATGGCCTTAAATTTAAAAAGGGTGGGTTTGGATTACATGTAAGGAAGAAATTTTTGCTGTGGTGGTGATGAGGCAAAGGAACAGGCTGCCCAGAGAAGTGGTGAATGGCTCATCCCTGGCAGTGTTCAAGGCCTGGCTGGATGGGGCTTTGAGGAACCTGGTCTAGTGGAAAGTGTCCCTGCCCATGGAAAGGGGTTTGGAACTACAAAATCTTTAAGATCTTTTTCCAACCCAAACCATTTTATGATTCTATTTCATAGGTGCACATGCAGATGCAGAAGCATTATCTGAAGTTGATTTTGATGAAATCAAAAATCTAGATGAAAAATTGAATTGTTACATAAGGCTGATCTATCAAATAGTCTTACTGGCCCTTTTTTAGCATTGAGGGAAAGGTGACTGTGCTGTCCAGAATGTGCACTACTGTTCCATGTCTGAGCAGAAAGATACCTGGGGATCTAAGTCCAAACAGAAATCCTTGGACATATTAGCTGATTCATCTGTAAAATCTGAGATGATGAAAAGAGAAGCAAAAAAGATTAAAATATGCAATCTATGCAAGCATTGTAGTGAAGAAATTTTGTACAAGACATTCGTTTTGGTGTGGGAAATTCTATTTTTCAATAAATTGAAGTCAGTTCCTCCCAGAAAATCTGAATTCAGGCTAGAGTCGACTTCTATTCTTCACATGCTTTCCTAGGGGACCACACACATCAGCTGTCCCATAGCAATTGCAAAAAACCCATGTAACTCATAACTACTGCCTAAACTTAATTGTACAAGGTCAAGAATTTATGCAGAGAAGCAGAATAAGAACCAGTATTTTCATCTTTACTGTGTGTGTTTACTGCTGCTTTCACCTTGTTTGCATGACTGGGAAAGGGTTGGAAGATGAGCAGGATTTCGCCCTTGTGCATGCTGGTTTTAGAAGCACCTGGCAGGACTCCACTGCTCCCAACTGCCCAGAGCTTCCCAGCAGCCCAAAGCAGGGATATGAGGAATGGAAGCACAGGTAAATTTTTTCTCCTGTCTTTTTCTTTCTCTTCACCTCTTCCCTGCTGTAACTTGTGGGAAAAAAACATAGGGAGCAGTTACAAAGACAGAGCACATTAACTTTCAAATTATCACATAACTTCATGAGCATAGTGCATGCTCTTCTGTTAACTGTATTTTACAACTGGCCTGCACAAGAAGTACAAGTAACTACTGATTGAGATATTTATAGAATAATTATGAGCATGTATTATTTGTAGCTAGATCACTTTTCCAGGAAGCTGGTTGCTGTGATCTTACTACAGTCCATTGCCTCAGAAGCCATAAACCTGGGACCAGATATATTCTCCATAGCCAGAAAGCTTTAAGTGGTTGACATTTGTTGTACTGCACTATGTAGCTCACATAGCCTGCATATTTCATTGTTATTTCCATGATAATCCATGTATGTTTTCCAGTATGGGCATACATTTTTTTTTTGTGATTGTTCTTTTTGTGTCTGAAAGATGTAACATTTCCACAGCACATATGTTTATTTTCCTCTTCCTTTTTTTCCTTGCCATCACATTAGATTGCCTGTTCAAAAGTGGCCATGTGGCTCTGACAGACGTGCTCAGAGGCTGTGGTTGCACAGGATTTTGAACCCAAACTTACAAGGAAAACACTCAGTCAGACACACACCTGAATGTATCCAAGTCAGATCCAAGAGTGCTGGGCAGCTCTGGGGTGAGAAGCCATGCCTCTCAGTGTGTGGGATGTTAGCCTGGGACTCAGTTCTAGGCTCTAACAAAAAACTCCTGTCCAAGTTTGACCAAGCCACTTCCTTTAAGTTTCCAGGTACATCACAGGGAGATAATGATTTCAGGACGTGGTCCAGCTGTTAGAACAAAAAGTTGCAGGCCTCCAGGCAAGCAGAGGAGTCATTTAAGGACCAGTTTGGATGGATAGCATACCATGAAAGAGCTAAGCCAAACAGTTATTTGCAGTATCAGTATCAGCCATGGTAATCTCAGTTCAGATAAAAGATAAAACAAGACTTGCCCACAAATCTTAAAATAGCATGCTTGTTGCCTAGAGTCATGTAATGAAGACCAAGAGTTTTTCTTACCCCCTTAAAGGCTAAAGACTTTCAATCCTATTCAGCTGGTTTTCAAATAACAGCCTTAACTTATCTTTGGTATTTATCTCAGGCTGCTTATCTTGCACATGACTCCTGCATGACAGAAAATTCTTGAAAGTCACCTTTCAGATAAGAAAGAGAAGCATGGGGGAATTAAGAGAAAGTATTTCCAAGGTATGTAGGTCTGAAATGGCCCTTGATGACTTTCCCCAGGACTCTGGAAAAGCACGCACTACCACAGTGCAGGTCAGTGGCCACAGTGTTACCACTGGGACACCTTTCCTCCCTCTAAAAAAAAAAAAAGAAAAAAGAAAAAAAAGCAGAAAGTGGGTTCTGATGGCCATGGGAGAGGCGTGCATCCCCAGGCCGTGCTACTGAGCCCCCCTGCTTCTTCCAGGCCAAATTCCTGCCTTCACTTTCATGCCATATAGTCACAGCATATGGACGATCTGGGACACAAGCAGTCTCCTGCAAACAAAAATCCCTCAGGGTATGCAGGGGTGTCCATTGACATCCATCTCTGCTGGTCACCAGGAATTTATGCCTTGCTCAAGTGGGAAAATAAAGGTCACAAGAAGTAATAGGAGCACTTCTCATTCAGAGACACCAGCATGCTTTTACCAGGGAGATCAGTGCTTTTATTTTCCATTCACAGAACTGGCCAAAAAGGGTGAAATGATATTCCCAGTGTGTTAAAGCAGACCACGGGCAAAGCCAGCACTGCTACACTGACTCCCAGTCTGATGCACTGGACTGAACTGCTTTCCAGAACTGGCTCTCCTTTGGAATGACAGAATGTGGTTCCACTGTCACCTCTGCTCTCTTTGCTAAGAGTGAGCATGCACAAGATGCCTGAGCACCAGAAGCTCTTTTTTACCCTTTCTGGAGTCCCTCTTGACAGCTCCTTGGCAAGTTGGCCTTTGTGCACTGTGCACTGTTAGAAAGACACCAGAACTGTTACTGCAGCCTGGGAAACATCAGAGGAGCTGTCTCCTACTTGCTTTAATAGGATGTCTTCAACAGCTGCTGCTGCTGTGGGGATCAGTTTTCCAATGTTCTTCTTTCCTCTTGCTTTCCTTCCCTGATGACAAGTGTAAGAGACATCAGGGTGTGGCACTCATCCATGATCTTTGTTCCTGATTACCACAAAAAAAGCCCCAAAAAACCCTGGATGAGAACATTCACACCCAGGCATTGATTTTCCCATCTCACCCTAAGCCCAGCATCAATAACCTCATTCCACTACTCACATCTCCTCAGATGCACTTGGCTAAGGCAGCGGTTCAGGGAGTATTGCCAATGGAAATATAAGAGTTGCTAAATGCTTAGCAATCCCCTCAGGCTGAGAGCTGCAAGAGAAAGTTTGCCTGTTACTACTGGCTGGCACAGCAATCACCATTCACTCCCTTCCCTGTGCCAGTGCCCAGCTCTGTCCTGCCTGCTGAACAAGGCTGCAGGCCCATCCTGACATGCTGTGTGGCCCTTCCCAGCTTCCATGCAAGAAAAGACACTAATGTGTGGTTCCTCTCTCTTCCCCAAAATGTGGGGCATCTGTCCCAGGGAAAGGGGGTGGGAAAGGAGCACCGTGTCACAGCTGCTCTTGTGCCAGCTCAAAAGGGACATGGGTGCATAGCAGTATTATAGATGGCTAATGAGGTGACTGGAAATTAAGGGATAAGTATTGTGTGAATATTAAGAAAAGCTTTATTGATGTATAGTTATGTTATTGTCATTTAGATGGCCTCTGCTCTCCCCATAGTTCCCTTTTCCCCCCTGTGTTGTTGCCATCAGACAGCCGGGGTTGTCTAGGACAGGTGGAGAGAAGGCTGCACATGGGTCCCTTACCCGGGGCAGTTGGGAATGGAAAAGCTTGGTGCTTAGGGGGTGTGGCATGGCAACACCTGACCTCCAATGAAGTTACAAGAAAGCAGTTTCCACTGTTAAATGGCAAAGAAGAGCTGACTGGCAGATTTTGGGAGGGGCCAGGGCTGGCTGATACAACCCCCAGGGGTATAAAAGACTGAGCATCCATCTTGAAGATGAACTGGGCATATGGTATTCATGAGGGCAGTTCTGAGCATTGCAGCTTTTTCTTTATGTATTCCTTTGTTGTATTTTTGTTAAGGTTTTAAACCTTTTTAAATTTTCAAAGTGAGCAGTTGTTTCTCACAGCATGCTGTCGCTGCCTGCTGCAAACCTGACAAACTTTTGCATCAGTGTGAATATGAGGTAGTTGATTACTAGAGCAGGTAGCCCACAGTGTCCTGTGCAAGCCCACAAGCCCAGACCACTCATGATCTGAAGGGGTAGGTCACATTAACACAGGGCTGCTTTCCATCAGATAGAGACATCTGAGAACATGAGCAGCCTAAACCTGCAATCTTTCAGTGTATTTTTTGTTGCTGCTAATCTAACACCAAAATTGGGAATAAATGGAAGAAGATGTTGCCTTCTAGCTTGTGCTTACTTTTCCTAGGATCCACTCAGCTGTGTGCTAGCCACAATTCCAAGTGGCTTTGACACAGTTGCTTATTATGTCTGTCTAAACTCGAAGAATCAGACTCACAGCAGCTCTCTCCAGGCAGGAAGATGGTTACTAATATAGCCATTAATTTTGTCTGTTGGTGCAAAGGAATGAAAATGGTGGACAGTTCTGTTCGTGGGTGGAGAGTTAAACCACTCCTAGACTTTGAAAGTATATCTGCATCATCCTGATGTCAATTCCTCAGTTGGGAGCTGAATGGTATACAGGAAAATAAGAAAAATGGCTACAGGTATGTCTCCAGTGGCGGCAGCAGAATCACATGGGAGATGGGAGTTGTCCTTCACTGTAGTTTTTCTGATGCAGCAGTCTTACGTCCCAAATAGAGCTGTTAGCTGTCAAAGAACACCTCATTCACACCCCTTGGATGTGAGTGTGAGATGAAAGAGAAATACCAGAAGTTTCTGAGTAGCACTGCTAGTGTATTAATCTACCACATTAGACATTCCCTTATTTTTAAGTTTTTACGTGGCCAGTTGCTTGAACAGACAGACCTGTGTTTTTTTTCAGATGCTTTAGCTTGCACTGAACTTTTCACCTCAGCAACTTAATAATTCAAAATCGTTTTGGTGCCTCTCCATCCCACTGTCATTTGTAGATGGGCTCTTGGAAAACAACCGTCCCTGCAACACACACGTCATTCTAATATACACTAATGTGGCTCTGTTCTGCCTGGGGTAATTGTTCATTTTCTTTAGCTTAGTCCCCACCCTTCAAACGTCAGACA